AACCCTGATGATGGCAATAACCCTGACAAACTACATACAGGTTAGCTGCTGGTAATCGAAAAAAGTAAGACATATAACAGGCGTTAATGGAGTTGGTTTTTGAAGCTATTAAGTGCAAAAGTCTAACAAAAATGGCGCTTGAAATTGCCTGAATGCATCGAGGATAAATTATCAAAATTATATCCTCAAAGGATATCAATATTTTCTATGCTGACGAGACAAAGGCATTTTTTATTTCGCGAACTTGAGTAAACTGATAAAAATAATGGAAACTTATATTTCTTTCGAAAAATATGATCATTTCCTAAATTTATACCGCGGTGAGTGCAATTTTTCTGCAAATAACTTCCAGAATAGGGTGAACAGTAAAATTATGTCTCATTCTTGTTGAAAATCGGAACCCAAACACAACTCATTTATAACACCAGACTTGCCATAGACCTCATCAGTAGAACTAGACTGAACCACGAAAGCATTTCTGGACTCAACTGTTCTTGAAGGACAATCCCTCACGAAGGCCCATCTATGGTATCGACAGATGCTCGAATATAAAAGATAAGCGAGGATACCCAAGGCGGTCAATTGCAAAGTTAAGCTCCAACATCGACCACCGATGAGAATTGTTTTCTGTGTTTCACTGCAGCTTTCACTGCAAAGCAACTAGTTGAAAACCAGAGCCCAAACACAATGCATTTATGATCCAACACCAGACAGCGCTGGTATTGGATTCGCGGGGTTATTAGGTGTACTTAGTGTACGTCAAATTGTATAGATAGAAAATGATGAAGAAATCGAAAACGTCATATTGAATGGAAGACTCCTGAATGATCTTTGATTAAGATAACATACGAATAAATACATGAATGATATCCAATAAACTCATTTTATGACATATTACTAATAGTGATTTGATAATTGACATATTTTCAAAATTGTTCAACCACGACCAGATAGGGCCTAATGAGCACTTGTACAAATGTACATTATAATATATAAGCACTAATTTGTTCACATTCCGGCTACTATTATTCTCTGGAAGTTTTTGGTCCAACAGTGTGTTCGGAGATGATAAATGAGATCAGTTTCAGCTTCCAATACAATTAATATGCCCATGTGTATCTGTATCTGTAGAGTAGGGAAGGTAAGTGTAAGCCAACATCACTTAGACCACATGTGACCCATTGTACATCCTTTCGAAGAGTTGTCCTCCTAGGTCATCGTCCACCTGTCCTTTCCAGGGAGGTGGACAGGTCACTTGGAGATATCTTCTTTATATCGGCAGGTGTAGGCCAAGACTCGCCGAACACACACTCTCTTATTGACGATAACTCCGGACACTCGCATAGGACATGCTTGACAGTATAATCAGCCTGTTCACACATCCTGCATAGAGGTGTGTCCACTAGCCCCATATTATGGAGGTGTTTCCTTAGTTGACAATGGCCAGCCAGAAATGGTCAGCGCCAGATAATTCTTCGGCGCCAGCTTCCCAGGGTTGCCCAGGGTGATTCCATCCCATCTCTTTAGGGATTGAGCATGGGTGTAACATTTGGCTAGTTCCGCAATTGTCGAAGTAATCAGGCCGTAGATGCCACTGAGTCCTGAAATTCTCAATCCAGCCGCTTCCTTGGCCAAAGAGTCGGCAATGCGATAACCCATGCGATTGCCCATGTGTATCTGAATGTGTCAGACTGAAATGAACAAAGTGACATCTAACTACAGTGAAAACTAACACTGAATACATACATATACATATACCTTATATTTAAAAAAACATCTAGGAAAAACTAACACTGAAATAATGAATAACATAAATCACTCCGAGAGATTATCAAGGTTTATCCGAGTGCACTGAGTTTATTCGGTGAAAATGTATGCAAATCCATAATTTTCAAAATGTTGGCAAGCAAATCACTTTCGTATAAAATAATTTGATGAAATCGTGTCTTCTATCAGGCGAATAGCTCTTTCCTGGATGGAATCCAGAAGCTTCAGGGTATGCTTAATGGCGGAGCTCCGTATATGTCAGCAATACTACAAAGAAGGTCTGATCTGAGCTTTATAAAGCATCAAAAGTTGCAGGGGTTTATAGAGTTTTCTGGTTCGGAACAGTGTTCCAAGCTTTCGAGAAGCAGCCTTTGCAATTCCAGCGACATGATTGTACCATTTTAACCCCCCAACAAACTTATCAAAGCGGAATTGTGTGAACTGACATTATTATATCCGGTTCGGAGACATTTATCTTTTTGAAGAACACCGATGCCTGGGTTTTCGTGGCATTGAATTGAACCTGGTTACTTTTTCCCCAATTCGAAAGATGTGCATCTTCAGCCGATGTCCTGGAATCCAAATGGAATGACGAGACAAGTGTGCTGTCGTCAGCAAAGCAATATATTCTTGGTTTCTTCCAATAAGTCGTTGGTATACATTGAAAAGAGCGTTGAAGGATATTCAATAGCTGTGAAATTTTATAAAACCTCTACTACAACTTCTTCGTCATTTTCATTCACTGAGAATAACCAATAAAATTCAAAACCATTTATATTCATTAATTCCAGGATACATATCATTACTTTCCAAAATTCATCACAAGTTGGTGAAATGAGCTGACTTTCAGTCAAGCATTCGATATGAATGACTCGGAATAAGACTTGATTATTTTTTTTTCAAATAAGTATCCTGCATGTGAGTAGTGAAATTTCTATGGCGAATATTCTGTGAAGTAGACACGTTGCATGTATCAGCCTACGATTTACCATGTTGAACCAACGCGTTGAAATAAATTAATGTGAGTTGTTTTCTCGTCTCTCTACCCCAAACATGAAATCGGAATTTTTTCACTTCTTCTAAAATGTATTCGTTGAATAGTGTAAATATATTCTCAAAAAGAATAAACGTACCTTCTATTCATGTTGCTTGATTTATGCTATGAACATTTTGAAGTATGAATTGGTAGATGTTAAAGATATTTGGTTACATGATCAAAGTGAAAAATCACACGACATTGACTCTCTATGAGGGATGATATAGAATATTGAATTGTTTCGATATTTGTTTCAATGGAACAGAAATAACAGAAATTAATATCCAGTTTCTGATCTGCTTGATATGCATACTGTCCTTGCAGTGATTCTGGACGATATATTTTCACATATATTCAGTGGGCATACTTGAAGACTGGCTGTGAATCAAATTAACTAAAAGAACAATTTGTTCAGGCCAGTCTCGACTTACCTACAGTGTAAGTTAATTGGATATAATGATTGGATATAATAATTGGATATAATCCAACACCCTTCGTGATATTAGCCAGGGGTATAGTTGTTTTCTGATAGGTGTCAGTCCATTAACTCACAGTATAGGTAGGTCGAGACTGGCCTGAAGAAACTGTTCCTTTAGAGAGTTTGCTGTACGATATATTCCAGAAAATTTTCTTTGCAAATGGGTAGAAAGAATAGATAGGGTCAGGGTCGGATTTGGAAGTCTGGAGGCCCTAGGACAAAGCAGGAGTAGAGGGCCCAAATTTTTTTGCTATAAAACAGAAAAATTGTTCTAAACTAATTACTCTAACATACATATTCGAGAAAAACGGAATGGACCCCTTATTTTGTTTTTTATAAAACTTGAATGTTTAACTTCCTGCTAAGAAAATTGGAAATTTTCCATAAAAGGGAAATGGGCGAAAATCGACGCGTCCAATAGGAAGTGTCGTTCAGAAATTTCCATTCAAGTGATTTCATCAAAAAATTGTTAAAATTTTGAGCGCGAAGAAACGAGGAGTTGTCAGGTTGACCTGCAGGGTCAACCGTTTTCCGGATTTCTTTCACTTAATTCATTTCTCTCAAACTAACAGATACAAATAACAAATTTCACATTGAAACAAATAAAAAATTGATAGTAAATGAAAACTTGCCATCAGGGCTTTCTGATATTTCGATAACAATATTACTATGTTTGTGCAAGTTGATTTTGATGAACATAATTTTCTTTATCAATGAATTTGCAATCACGAAAAGATCGACATTCAGATCATTCATTCATAGAACATATTCCTCTATTTCTTACAGGAAGAGACTGGTCATATCATGTGTTGATTGGAAGAAATTCTGAAACTTATTAGGATTTTTGATGATATGGTTTTGTTCTCACCTTGTTTGAAATTCATATCAAATGAAAATTCGGGAGAAATGATACATTTCTGATTTTCTCAGTATTCCCAATACAATACATATCGTGACGTTTGGAATATTTCCAGAAGTATAATATAATAACCTGGAGAAACATTGTTTTTTTATATCGTTTCCAGTGTTTTGATCAACCAATAAAATTTCTTGAATTTCAAGCTTACAATAAATACTTTTCAACTCGATATATAGATGATCTATACCGGTCATCTATTTTTTCATCATAAAAAATCTCTTCAAAATCTTTAGTGAAATTTTCAATTTTTTGATAGGTCAAATATAACTTTCTATAAAAACTCACAAAATGATTTTTAGTAGAGATTTTTCCTTTCATACTCAATATTTCAAATTGATTGCTCTTATTCTTACGACAAACTTTCACTATGAGTCAATGTTGAAGGAAAGTTACCAAAACTTCCTTTTCACAAAAAATTTTGTCAACCTGCAATTTTTTATTACACAGTAATCTTTGAAAAGGTGCAAAGGAAGTTTGACGTCCACGGGAAACTATCAGCCAAACTTCAATAATTATAGATGAAAGGTGAAGGGTTGATTGAAAAATATCTATCTCGGCAATTTGTAAAATAAACAAAGTCAGCCAGTTGAACCGATCAATTTAATATCTAACAAATTATCTGATATACCCAATGAAACATTCTCCCAGTAAAATAATCAAATCGGTCCAAAAATAAATTCAAGACGGTCTGCGAATATCTGTCGGAGAATAAGAAAACAGTGAGTTTGCACTCGGTAGGCAATATAGAACAATTAAAACTAATAACCGCAGTTGTATCTTGATAATGCCATTTAACTTACCCATCAGTTCAAAACCACAAATCAAATATAGTCAGTCTGAACGGAGAACTGCACAAAATCACCTCTATTTTAAATCCACAGTCGCACGACACTCGTAGTCTAGGACCGCAAAGCGTCGACCACACTTAATTCATTGATCTGATAGATACGGCCTTATTTTGGTAGATGCGGGTCTGAATGAAGTTACCATACTCACTACCCGTTCTAAGGGCCGAACGCACCACAACTGACTAGCTCGGGATATATTGCGCTAGTGACTTAGCTCCTTTCTTAATGTTTCAGGAGTGTCTATTTTCTACCATCGCAGTCACAGTGTACTGATCACCGCGAGCTCTGTTATTAAATCACTCCCTCTCCAATCCAGATGGTGCTTTTCGTTTGCAATCTCGAAAATTTGTTTGCTCGTCTTGACCCTCTGAATAATATGTCACTTCAATTTTATTTAATAGGACACCTATTATTCTACTGAACTGATTTGTCTGATGTGTCGCAGTTGAGAAGCTATCTTGAGTTTCAGATTTTAGACCTAGGGTGGTAAGTGATGGAATGGGCCGATGAAAATCCATGAGAAATAATTTATTGTGTGATTTTCACTAAACAGTTTAACAAAAACGCAACACGTGTTTCGCTATACAATAGCTTCTTCAGGCGTGTCTATACTCACTATACAGGGTGTAACATTAGTACGTTAAAATATTCAAGTGACCTATTGCTGAAACAAATGTACGAAAAAATGTCTATATAAACTTGTGACCGGAGATGCTTCGTTTCGCAGATAAAGGGTGTTGAAATTGAATTTTTTTGTTAATTTTTTTTAAATAACTTTTGCAAAAAATGAGTTATATGCACGAACATCTGTACCTGTGTTTTTTGACGTGGAAAATCCTAATTTCGTAATAAATTTCATAAAGCATCTAGAGGGCACCGCGTACGCTGTCATTATTTATTTCAAATTGCCCTTACTTTTTTTACAGAAAAATTTTGGTACTTTCCGTGAAAAAACCTGGTTTCCACACCTGTTTCAAGTGAAAGAGAACACTATCTCAACAACGCAGAAAAAATATGTTTAATATGTGATCGTTTTCGAGATAAATTGGTAAAGGATTTCGCGGCCAAGATTTTCATTGTTACAATCTTCAACCCCGAATGAAGATCGTAACAACGTTTTCGAGATATTTACAATTTTCTATATCGATGCATATTGCTTAGCTCCTAAGGCGCTGAGTGAAGTTGCTGAGAGCATTATAAAAACTAAGTATGTGCTGGATCTCATCAAAATAAAAACTTTTTTCTATAGAATGTTTGATGGAAATAACTGAAACTGCAAAAACCTTATGACAAAAACCAAACATGTATTGAAAAATTTCAACAATTTGTATCTCGAATACGGTCCCACGTCAAAAAACCCCCGGCAAGTAAATCAATTTTTGCAGAAATTATTTTTAAAAAACAAACAAAAAATTCATTTTCAAAACCCTGCATCTCCGAAACGAAGCATTTCTGGACACAAGTTTATACAGGGTGTTCCTTAAACACATGCTAATATTTAAGAAGGTAATTCTTGAACCCGTTTTAAGGAGAAAACGTCCTATGGACGTATGTCCTAAACGCCTTAACTTTTGAGATACAGGGTGGCAAAGTTTTCAAAAATAATCAGTTTTTTAATATTAACTGAGATAATTTTGTAGACATCTTTGGCATATTTTGTACATATGTTCCATGCCTCAAGGCGCATTTTCTGATGTACAATTTTCTTAATTTTCTCTGCCAGTGGCGTACGTACGAGTTTTGAAATGTATATTTTTGGCGAAAAAAATACTACGCCACTGCTTTATCTTGAATTAAAAATTATTTTTGAAATCTCCATACATTTTTGAGCACATTTGATTTGCTGGGTTTTCTTTGTCCGACGCATGGTTTTCGCTCAAAAAATTAAAAATCGCTTTACTTAAGGATAAATTCCTTA